AGGCAAGGCAAGGCAAGGCAAGGCAAGGCAAGGCAAGGCAAGGCAAGGCAAGGCAAGGCAAGGCAAGGCAAGGCAAGGCAAGACAACCACTAATACACACTGTCAGACCCTAGCTGTTCCACTGCATTGCGCGATTCGCAGCCAGCCTGCTGCTTATCTGACGAAACGGAGATAGGCCTCAGGCTCCTGGGCCTTGGCCATCCTTGTGCGACGCCTGGTCTTACAACAGGCGCAGTGTTACTCTATCTCGCTGGCTTAGCATACTCCCGAGTAATGATAATCTGATCACTATGTATTGGACGTCCACTGCTATACATGCTGTCTGATACATACACACTGTTTTAGCTGAACACCGTTCGTTGGTCGACCAACTACCTTACCAAGTAGCCACCAGCCGTGCTTTTGCGCCCACTCGCCCCGGAGCCCTCTCCAGAATCCTAAGCCGCCCTATCCGTACCCGTGCCCGTGCCGTAACCAATTTCTAGTGTCTGATGCCTATTGTCCCGTAGCCTCGTCCCACGTGTCACTCACCAGCTTCCAGTATCGCGTTGGGTCCGTCCTTGCATACGCTACGTGCGGACATTTCGCCCCAAAGTTGGCCATGCCAGCCACACGAAAACCTCGCCTACGGGCATCCTCAACGTGAGCCTCGACTGTGCGAGACTCGACAAACCGATCCGCACTGCTGTATGCGTAGCTGCGGCACACCTCTTGCGCGCGCGAAGGGTTGTTGGCTGCCTAGCCCCATTTAGCTATCCAGTCCTCGCCATTGAGGTTGCGGCACCAGATGAAGAGGGTGCCGCTGAGGAGGTGGGCGAGAGGGACGAGGACAAGAGTTTGGAGCCACTGGCCTAGTGGGATCCCGTGCAACAGGGCCGAAGCAAGAGACCAATATTCATATCGGCCGGGCGAGGAATCGAAAATGGTCACACGCCTGGGTCGAGGTTTGGCTTCTTTTGCCTTTTCCGCAAAGACGTTGTCGAGCTGCCACGATGTGGAGAGACCCGTGTTGGAGAAGAGGTGAAGCAAAATCGGAGGCCTGGATTCCGGGGACAAAGAAGGGTCCTTGGTGATGCCGAGGACGGCGTCGGCCACGGCGGCCAGGTCGCTCCGTGCGCCAGGCAGCCAGAAGAAATGGCGCAGGAAGGATTTGGCCACTATGATGATTTCATCCGGGAATAGCTCTCTGTACTTGGCGACGTATTTGGCTATGTGATTGTCCAAGGCGAAGACCCAGGTGGTCAAAATAATTACTGTGGCCCAGCAGCAGGACGAGGGTGGGTGGTGGAGATAGAGGGGGATAGAGAAAGGATGACGACGAAAGCTGAACCGACTCCATGGCTTCTGTTGGTGTAGAGGACGTCGATGAATTCTCGCTGATCGCATGCAAGGCGAGGTGGGTGATAGGCGAGCTAATGTGACGTTCGGGTCTAGACTAGCTACCGGGTAGATAGAATAGAAGTAGGTTAACGTAATCCACATACGAGCGGCGCACCCAAGCGAGCGGCGCACCTTCCCCGTTATCTACACACGACTATATTCCTCACTAATTATTACCGTATTTAATAATAGATAAACTTCTAAAAGAATCTAGGGTGACCCTTACCCTCGTAGCTCTCGGAGGAGACGCGTTATTAAGTATCCGATATATTACGAAGGTCTATAATATGCCTCTAACGACTATACGTCGCCGACTGAAGGGTTTTCAGGCTAGAGCCGAAACCAGGCCGAATTTAATAAATCTAACGGATTTAGAAGAGAGAGTGATTATTAAGTATATAATCGATCTATCTTCGCGATCTTTTCCTCCCCGATTATCTAATATTAAAGATATAGCTAACTAACTACTACGCGTACGCGACACGCCACCTATTAATAAATAATAGGCTTTAAACTTTATTAAATAGTACTAAGAACTTCTCACGCGCTAGGTTCGTAAATATAACTACTAACGGGTTAAATATAAAGATCTAAGACTTATTAAGGGCTGGTTTATGCTTATACGGAATATATAGGCGAAGTATAGGATCCTAAATAATAATATCTATAACTTCGATAAGACAGGCTTTATAATAGGTATTATCTTCGCGGGTATAGTTATTATAACCTTAGAAGGCCGAATAAAGGCTAAACTAGCCTAGCCTAGGAATAAGGAATAAGTAACTATTATTTAAGGCGTTAATACGTGCGGCTAGGCTATCCCTCTTTATATTATCCTCGCGGCTAAGTACTATCTCTTAGCTTAGTACGAGGGAACCGACCTTCCGGCCGATTGAGTTATCGCTATAACCGATAACGGCTAGATAACTAATAAGATTAGCCTCGAATAGATCAAGCACTTTAATCGCTATATAAGCCCTCGTACGAAAGGCGTATATCGAATACTTATTCTTAATAACTACGAAAGTCACTATTTAACCGACTTTAAGCTCTTCTATTAAGAGAAGAAGATTATTTCGGTTTATATACCGGCTTATTTTTCCTATATTCTTTAATCCCTCGATATTAGTTACTTTAGGCCTCTTAAATAAGCGTACGGGCGATAAGTAGAAGATCTTATACGCGTATATATTATATATATCTTAAAGGTTAACTTCTTTCGCGCCTTTTATATAGCTTTCTTCCTTACTTTCACGGAGAAGAATATATAAGGAGGCTTTATTAGTACTAGACTTATACTATACGACCTAGAAAGGGTCCTCTCGAAGCTTAATATAAAGCTTCGTACGCTAAATCCTCCTATAGATTTTATTAAAAATAGGCACCCTTAGGTCTTAAAGACGCCGTAGAATACATACGAGGCTAGCGTATAGTCAGAGGATATTAAAAATCGGATCTCTATCTATTAAAATACCTCTCTAACGCCTATGCTTAATACCTTAGATTAACTAACGAAGGGTGCTATAGTAATAATATATTAAGTAGCCCTCTTATAAGCGGAGAATATATCGCTACGTATAATAAATAAGGTATTAAGTAAGCGTCGAGGGATTAAAAGAAGCTACCTTTAGTATAGAGGCACCCTTACTATATAAGATAGGAAAGACTTTATTAATCAGAAGAAGGTTAATAAATAGATTTAGGAAGAAAAGCGTATAAAGAGGCGCCCTCAGCTACTAGGCAGTCCGAAGCCTATATACTATAGTAAATACGCTAAAATAGGTCAGAACGTACGAAGCTGTCCGGAAGATATTTAAAGTCTCACTCTATCGATACTTTTATTTAATTAGTAACTTAATTGATTATATTATTCTTGATCGACCTTTTTGTATGTAGATAACGGGGAAGGTGCGCCGCTCGCTTGGGTGCGCCGCTCGCATGTGGATTACGTTATTGAACCAAGTATACTAGGATATTGTCGACTTAAGCAGTCGGGTTATAGTCTATATACGAGATAGTAGATCTTACGTAGATAATTATATTAATAGCTAAGGAGAGCTAATAGAGACTAACCTAGGCTTCTTCTATACTATTTATAATAGTAAGGGCTTACAAGAGCCTCGTGATCTAGTAAGCTATATGTTAATACTAGAGCGTGGGCTCACGGTAAGGTCGTGAGCCGCAGCGACGCATAGGGAACGCGTTAGTATGATTGGAGAAAAGAGTGGGGTACACGCGAGAGGCGCATGCGGTCGCATGCCGGGTCGTAACAGCTAAGCAGATAATAAATGCCATTATCTTCCGGTCAGACCACTCTACGCTTCGCACCCCCCCGAAACACACCGGTGTGGTTGCATGCAGCAAAGGTTCTCCACCTAGCTGAGAGGGAAAACAAGCGGTTCTTCACCTGCAGCCCGTGTTTGCGGTGTCGCCCGCTTATGGTTGTGCATATGCACACGGGCTCTCTCGAAACACCGATGATGATGAGTCAGCGCGCCCTGCAGGTCTTTCGTGTGGGTGATAAACACTGCGAAGCAATCCAGGTGCAAGTTCCCGCTGACAGGAAGCAACCGTTCGCTCTCAGCGGCCGGGCGAGCTCACGTGTGTAAGTCGTATCGTAGCAGGCCGTGGGGGGTTCCGCCGACGCCGTCTTAGCCCGCGGCACTTGGCGGCTCTGGGACCTAGTGGGAAGTGGAGGAATCCCAAGGAGTTCGAATGCAGCATGATAACGGGATTCTCCAGACGACCAGCACGACTTCCGCGCACCGCCCTACCCTGCAGCTCAGGATTTGTCCATCTCAACTCGTGAACGTCTCCGTTTTCGGGAGTAGCAGAATCGGTACACACTGCGAGACATTGGACGCGACGCAGCCACGACAGTTCATGAGGTAATTCTCGAAGAAATTGAACATTTTCCTTTTTTTTCTAAGGGGGCAACGCAGTTGTTGAAACATTGGATGTTGAGTGAGCTTTGTCTCAAACCATGAGCACAGAGGCGAAAAATGAAAGCACATGACAACCATTGATCGATCCGACCATGTCAGCAGCGAGCTATTTTGCCTCACCCGCTCTGTCCTTGAAGAAGATCCCATACTTTGGGTTCGGGATATCCATGTCGAAGAACATGATATTCTCCGGTCTCCCACCGGGCCCTAGCTTGAGATCGTAGCGCACTAGCAGCTCGATCATGAGCAGCTTGGCGATCAGGCTCCCCATGAACCTGCCCGGGCACATGTACCGCCCGTGGCCAAAGTGCAGGCTGCCGCCGTACGAAGACGTGAACTGCAGGCCGGCCTGTTCATTTTTGCCCTGCCGGCGCAGGCGCTCGAAGCGGAAGCCGTCAAATTCTTCGGCGTTGTCGTAGTAGTACCCGGACATGGACATGGGGACGCCCGCGAAGGAAACGTGCGCGCCCTTGGGGAGAACTTGGCCGTCGGAGAGCGTGTGGTCTTTCATCATCTTGCGGTTCACAGATACTGTGAGAGGTGGAGTTAGCTCTTCCAGTCTTTTTTCTTTCCTCATTTTCTGTCCTTTTCTTCTTCTTCTTTTCTTCTTTTTTGGGGGGATAGAAGAAGAATGGGGAACAATGATTGTTACGTACGCTTCGACGGGGGGTGAAACCTCTGAGACTCCTTGAAAAAGCTGTCGAGGAGCCACATCTTGGACAAATCAGCATTCGTGATGCCCTTGGTGTTGCCACCAAGAACATCATCAATCTCCTTTCGCAGAGGCGGAGCCCAGCGCTCAAACTCGTTGGCCAGGTCCATGAGCGCGTTGGTGATGGTGTTGGACGTCGTGTGCGCGGCGCCAAAGCTCACGCCGGTGAGCCGGTGCGCCAGCATGTAGACTGTCGACTCTTCGGGCTTGGACGTCTCGATGAGCCACTCGAGCGTAGTCATCTCGTCGTTCTTGACGTGCTCCCGCCACGACTCGGGCCGGTCGCGGCGCCAGGCCATCTTCTGCAGGATCACGGGGCGGGTGAGCCGCCGGATGGTGCGGCGGCACTTTTCGATGCGCCAGCGGTAGGGGGTGAAGAGGGTGACAAAGGGGCGGGTAAAGTCGGGGACCAGCTTGAGGTAGACGGCGCACTGGAAGATGTTTTGCGCGTAGCCGATGACGGCGGGGACCCATTCGGGGTCGCGGCAGATGTCGGGGCCGACGATGGTTCGGGCGACCATCTGGGAGACGAGCTGCAAAATTTTGGGCTGGGCCACTACAGGAGTCCATTCTGCGACTGTCAGTCTCAAGGGGTGGCAAACAAAGGAGAGGGAAAGTAAATCCCTTACCGTGATACGACCCAAAGTGCATGTGGAAGGCATAGGCGGCCTCGCTCGCGGCGGGTTCAATCTGCTGGCCAATCTTGGCAATATACTGCGTCTTGATGGCATCGATGGTGGCATGGCCGAAAATGTCATAATTCAGGCTGGTCCAGTTGCCGACAAAGAACTGCCCAACAGTCAGTTGTGTCTTTTTTTTTTTTTTTTTCCATGAAAACAAGAAGAGAAGACGAAAAGATGAAGTAAAGGTGCTAAAACTAGCCATGAAGACAACTCACATCTGAGGTGGCCTGGGAGTTGCTGGCGACTTTGCTGGTGAGGTCTCTGATCTCCTGCAAGTAACGAGGAGGCAGGACTATGGATGTTCGATCGAGGGAAGGCAGCGTGAAGATGGTATCAGGAAACTTCTTGAACGAGGTGTGGATGAGCTCGGGCCCGTGCTTGAACCAGTGCAGACGCTGACGGATGCTTTTGAAGAGGTGGTACTTGAAGTCTGCGCCGACAAGAGGGTACGGGCTCTTTGCGACTGGGTTGTGCCTGTAGACAAGGAGCAGCGCGACCAGGACAGCACCAGTCCCCGCGATGGTTGCGAGGGTAGACTGAGAGCTGCCCAGGCTCTGGTCGATGAAGTGTGCGATTTCAGTAAGCATGGTGGTTTGTTGGACGACTGCGAGAAAGCAAACGAGAGCAGGAGAGTTGCTGAGGGAAGCCTGGCGAGAATGGCAAGGCAATGAGAAGACGTTCAGCCGGCCCCTGAGGAACATCATGAGATGGACAATGAGAAGACAGCGGAGGAACCGGCAATATCCACGCACAGCACTCGTATGCACTGCTTCAAGATGATGACGTCTTTCAGCTGATAGGTCTCTCCTCATTGCTGCTCGCAGGTGTTTCTTCAGCAGTCGGCAACCAAACGAAGCGGGCCATCTCTGCGAGCTCGACAATTCCGCGCGGCCGATCAATTCGAAGCGCAGACACGATGAGCAGCACAACATTGACCAAAATCTGATGTCCCTCCACTGAGCTGTGTGTAGTATGTTTCGCCCGAGACTGGGATTGGTTCCTCCATCTGCAAGCCACGGCGCAGAGCTCGTTGTGGTTCCCGTCCGCGCAGACAAGGGGGGGCGGGGGTCCCCGGATGGCACGCCACCACTGCGATCGCGACCAAACACGGCATATCCGTTAAGTTATATTCTAGCTTATCGTCACGACGGGTGCCGCGACAGCTGTGTGGCGTGTGTGTCGGAAAACTGTGCCGCTGGTCAGCCCGCACCCTGTCAGGTCGGGAGGCCGCCACCGGCACAGCACGGCAAAGCACAGCAAAGCACAGGTCTTTTGAGGTATGACGCGATACGGCTGTTTTCTGGTATGCCTTGTCCGCCCGAATAATGCAGGCCCCGCGGTGATGAATGGGGTCGACGACTTGGTTGAGAGAGATCGGAGGAAACTGTTGCGCCGAATCACAGGCTGAGACGGACCGATGCTGTCGAAAACGTTCTTTTGGCTGGAATCGTCACATCAGGTCAGGCCGCGTCAGCTCAACAGGCCCGAACAGAAAACCAACCCTAACCTGGAGTCCCAAGTCATTGTGACTTGGGCTGTATCGACGTCAAAGTACAGCTGGCGACAGGAAATCGAAACGACAGCATGTGTGTGCCCAGGCAGGTGGTGGCAGCCGGCAGCTGGGCAGAGCAACTTGGAACCAACTGCTGAGACAAAACGCGACCAACAGAGACTCCATTAGCGGGGCTGACCCGAGGTTCTTTTTGATTGACGATGAATGATGGATGGTCGTTGGTTGCTCGTCCTTTGCTCGTTGATCGCTGGGCGGGAACAGGTGGGAAAGGTGGCTGACCCTGTCCACCCCCCAGAACAATAAGAACGTCCTTTCTCTCAACATCACTCCTCTCAGACCGTGAACCCTTTTACCCTTCTCACAGCACCGTTTTCGTCTTCCTTCTTCTACCGCAAACCAGCGTTTTCAAATCAACAGTGCACACGCCGCAAAGCCCTCATCCCTTCTTTGCGCCCACTCCCCCAATTCACGCTCTCACCCTCAATCTCCGCGACACCCTCAGCAACCAGCAAACCATGTCAGCGCCCGCCTGGCTCGTCACCGGCGCCTCCAACGGCTTGGGCCTCGCCCTGGTCCTCCACATCCTCGAGCGCGGCCACAAAGCCACCGGCTCGGTTCGCACCAAGGCCAAGTCCGCCTCGGCCGTCGAGCAGATTGAGGCCAAAGGCGGGTCCGTCGTCGAGATGGACATGACCGAGTCCAAGGAGAGCATCACCGCCAAGGTCCAGGCACTGGGCCGCATCGACTATCTCGTCAACAACGCAGGGTACTCTATTCTCGCTCCCTGCGAAGAGGTCACGTAAGCTCGAATTTTTGTCTTGCCTGTCTCTCGATAACTAAACCCCCCCACCCCCCTCTTTCTCGCCTCACCCCTGCCCGCTCTGCGCCAAGCACCAAGGTCCTTGTCCAGATCTATAACTCAGATCTGGAGGTCGCTCGTGCGCCTTGGCCATCTGAACACTATAGCCTGGTTATGGACACTCCAAGCTGACAAGCGCCACCCCCGAACCAGCGACAAGGATGCCCACCTGCAGCTCAACACCAACTTCTTCGGCCCTCTTTATGTGATGCAGGCCGCTCTCCCCACCATGCGCGACGCGAAATCCGGCTCCATCATCAACGTCTCCAGCGTCGCCGCCAGGGACCCCATGGCCGCCTGCTCCCTCTACGCCGCCTCCAAGGCTGCTCTCGAGGCGGCGTCCGAGTCGCTCGCCAAGGAGGTCGCCCCCCACAACATCCGTGTCCTCATCGTCGAGCCCGGGAACTTCCGCACAAACTTTGTCAGCGCTGTAGGTTTCCCCCTGGCCCCCTCACCCCTGTTTTTGGCTTATCTCTGACGTCTCTATGTGGGCGAGTCGCTTGGTACATGCTGGCTAACAGATTCAACAGCTCTCTGACATGAGCCCCGAGGTGGAATCCGTGCCCAAGCACTATGACGACCCTGTCGGCGTCATCCTGCGCAAATTCCTCACGGTCCACGGCAAGCAGATCGGCAACCCCGCCGAGGGCGTCTCGCGCATCTTCGAGGCCGCCACCGGCCAGGAAGGTCCTGCTGGTCCCCTGAACGGCAAGGTCTTGCGTCTGGTCCTCGGCTCTGACGCCCTGCGGCGCATCAAGGTGTGGAACGAGAACTGGGCCAAGGAATTGAGCTTGCAAGAGGACAGTGCCGTGAGCACCGACTTTAAGGAGTAGATAGCAAGACAATCAGCAAAGGCTGTCCCCCATTTTCAGAAGAGTTGACTCGGTATGCTGTGAACTGATTTGACACGCCCTTCCACTCTTTCTGCTCTCGACGTTGAACCGTAACATGGCATGACTGCTTATCGGTATGCTCAGCGGAAGTATCAAGAGAATATGAATCTATTCACAATGCGAGCAAGCTGGATGATATAACTCTCTTTCTCAGCACAAGAAAACTAGATGGCACGCCTCTCATTCCGGCGGAGCAAACTAGATAGTGTAAACCAGTTTCTCTGCACTGAGGACCAAGCCCGCCTGCAACTCCGCTAGCCCCTTCGCTACGCCCTCCAGCCCGCCTCCCGTCTTGTTCAGACTCGTCCGCAGGGGCTTGATCGCGCCGCTCTCCAGCAGCCGCTGCGTCAGCTCCAAGAACAAGCGGTAAAACTCCATCTCTGTCGGGTCCGGCTGCACCGGCACGTCTCCGAGCCAGTAGTAGAACTCGCCCTGCGTGTCGTACCCGCGCATAAATTCCTGGCCCGTGACCTTGGGGTTCGTCCGCGCGAGGAGCTCGTAGTCGGCGGGCATGATGGTCCCGTACGTGCCCGGCTCCGCGTCCGACATGGCGACCGCGCAGATGCCGGCCCCGTCGCCGGTGCAGTCCCACGAGTAGAGGAGCTTGTTGTTGGTGAAGCGCTTGATGTCCTTGCCACAGGTCGGCGAGTTGTAGTCGAACGCGGCGTCCGCGCCCAGGGATTTGACCAGGTCAAAGTTGCGGGCCGAGCAGGTCGTGATCACGGTCAAACCGGACAGCTTGGCGAGCTGGATCCCTGCCATGCCCGTAGAGGTGCTGCCGCCGCAGATGAGGACGGGAAACGGTGACTTTGCAGGCGCCGTGGGCAGTGGGAGCTCGAGCTTCTTGTACATGCCTTGGCCCTATTGCCTTCTCATCAGACGTGAAGCTCTCAACAGCGGGGGAAAGAAAGCTTTGCGTTGCAAACTTACGACAGTCATGAGGGCGACACCGAGTGAAGCTGCTTCTTCAAAGCTCATGTTATCGGGAATCTTCATCTGGACACAAGCTTTCGCAATGGCGAGTTCAGCAAAGGCGCCAGATTCATGATTCGCGCGGTTCCTACATTTTCGTCAGCCTCTTGTGGGCAATCACAGAGTTGATGGCCAAGAAAGAAAACAGCAACGGGTGACACTCACGAGCCATGGATCCAGCCAGTGATCCGATCACCAGGCTTGAAGTTGGTGACGTTTGCCCCGACCTCCTCCACGACGCCGGCATAGTCGCAGCCTACTCTGCACCCAACATCGGCGGCGGCCCAGGCGACGTGCTTCCAGTCCGTGGGATTGATGGCGACGGCTTTGACTCGCACGAGCAACCATCCGTTGCGCACCTTGGGCTGGAGGACGTCACGAACGGCGGCTTTGGTGAGTTCCACCACGACAACGGCTTTTGTGGTCTTGGGGCCGTTCATCTTGACAATATTGCCTGATGATTTTGCTTTTTTTCTCTTTTTTTTCTCTGTTGAAGATCAAAGTCTTCTCAACTGAAACAGGCCAAGAATGAGTTGGGCTTCTCGCAAAGTCCTTGGACTGTGCCCGTGGCCAGCACGAGGATCCCCCATATACTGGAGCCGTCAAGAGAACCACTCTGCGGCATAAAGAGCTGCCAGTCTGTCCAGAAACATCGTACCATCTTCCCAATCGGCAAGCTTCCGACCATTACCCCGAACGGGATTCTCGTACAAGCAATCGTGTGAGAAGGACGATGAAACCGCATAATCATCCACGAGCCCTGCATCGCTAGTCTCACGCCCTCCCCTCTTGTCACCAAGCAGCAGAACCGTGCAGCACGGACGGCACGGCACGGTACGGCGCTTAAGATGAAGATGCCGAAGCCCTTGTTGTTTTTCGCCTTGTCTCGTTCTTGGCTCAAACGGGTAGGGCTTTTTGACCGTGATGGATCAGCTCATCTTTCAGCTTATGCATCTTGAATGCAGCCACACGGCCGACCATTGCCTTCAATGGCAACGAGTGACGCGTCTCGCCATGACCGAGTCATTCGTTTGGTCTGAAGCCCTCACCTACTTCCGGTATCTGACCGCAGGTTGACTGTGCTGCGCCAGAGAGCACTTGAATTTGAACTCTGTGATTTTTTCGGATACTCTTGATCTCCCACCTCTTCGTGCCCACGTTCAGTGTTGCACATTCACTCTCTGCTTCATTCTCAATTGCTTGCACTGCGAGTCTAACAACATGGAGCTCGACACCGATGTCCTCATCATCGGGGCCGGCATGTCCGGTCTCGGCCTCGCTGTCCAGCTGGTTCGATCATACGGGCACCGACGCTTCGAGATTGTCGAAAAGGCAGAGCATCTCGGAGGCACTTGGTGGACAAACTCGTACCCCGGGTGCGGAGTGGACGTAAGTCACCGTCGTTGAATTTGCATCCCCGCTGCTGACCGTCTTGTAGGTTGTCGCGCACTACTACGCCTACTCGTTCTGCATGAACCCAAACTGGTCCAGGAAGTATCCTCTCCAGCCAGAGATCCTCGCCTACTTTGAACGTGTCGCGGCCAAGTACGACATCGAAAAGCATATCCGGTTTCAGTCCAAGGTGGAATCGGCCCACTGGGAGGAATCGTCCGGCACATGGCTGGTCGACGTCAGGAACCTGCGTACCTCGGAGACGTACCAGCGTCGCTGCAAGATTCTCGTCTCCGCTGTTGGAATCCTCTCGCAGCCCAACGACTGCGACATTAGGGGCCATGCGTCCTTCAAGGGCCGCCTGTTTCACAGCACGCAGTGGGATCACTTATTTGATTGGAATAGCAAGAGCGTCGTCGTTATCGGTATGCCTATACTTCGGCAATAATTCGTTTGCCCCTCGAGCTTCGGAGCGCTGACAAAGGTTTCAAGGAAATGGCTGCAGTGGAAGCCAGATCGTGCCGGCCATAAGCGAAGGCGACAGGGCAGCCGCAAAAGTCACCCAATTCGCCCGTCAGGCGCAATGGGTCTTCGAGCGGCCCAACCCGGAATACTCAAAGGCGTTCCAGTTCGTCATGCGCTGGACTCCCTTTGCCATGCGGCTATACCGATTCATGCACAACTACTACGCCGAGATGGACTTTAAGAGCTTCCCCACGCTCAGCGGCGCCGCGATCCGCGAGATGTACGCAACTTACCAGGGCGCGTACATCCGCAGGGTCTCCCCCGAGAAATATCACGGCTTCCTCGTGCCCAAGTCAGAGGTCGGCTGCAAGAGGCGCGTCATGGACTCGGAGTACCTGGAGAGTCTGGGCCGTGACAACGTGGAGCTCGTGTACGACGACCCGATCGAGGAGATTGTCGAGGACGGAGTGCGCACAAATTCCGGCCGGCTCGTGGAGGCAGATGCCATCGTCCTGGCCAACGGGTTCCAGGTTCAGAAGCCGCTTCTGACGCTGAACCTGCACGGTCGGGGCGGAGTCAGTGTTGCTGAGCATGTAAGTCTGGCCAAGACACTGACGATTTTCGAGTTACTCATACTGACAGCCAAATCGCAGTGGGAAAATTTTAGTGAAGGCGCGGCTTCTGCCTATTTCGGAACCTGCCTCTCCCAGTTCCCAAACTACTTCATCCTGATGGGCCCCAACACCGCCAGCGGTCACGGCTCCGTCTCTTACATCACAGAGTGCCAGATCAACTTTACCATGAGGGTTATCAAACCTGTCTTGAAAGCGCTCAAAGCGCAGAGATCCCGTTTGCCCGTACTCGGATCAGCGACCGACGTCGTCGAGGTGCAGCAGGGCGCCGAGAAGCAAGACATTGACAACGTCCAGGAGAGGGTCAAGGACCTGGTCTGGTCCTCGGGCTGCACCTCCTGGGCGCTGGACGAGACAACGAGGCGTAACACGACAATGTACCCTGATTTTCAATACCGCTACTGGCTCAGGAGCGTGTTCGTCCCCTGGAAAGACTTTGAGTTTTCCAGATCGTCTGTCCTTGAAGAGTCACTCGCGGGCAAGTCCGTCGGTTTGGGAACGTGGGCTACTCTGTTCGCTGGCGTGTCTCTCGCCGCGGCGGTCTTGTATGACAAAAGGAACCTTGTTGGGTCTCTTCTCACTCATTAAAGCTCTGGAGACATTCGAGGTCTAGTGTGATGATCAGGGTGTTCTACCCATTGGCAAGACGACTTTGTGCTTGACTTGACTCGTAAAGATAGATGTCGTCCATCCAATCTCGCAGATATCGCATTTCACTCGCCACATGTGACTTTTTGCCAAAGGTACACAAATCAAAATCTCTGATGGAGCTAGAATGCTGGGAAAGTGCTCCGATGGAGATATGATCACCACGTTCCAGAGTCTTCGAGTAGAACAAGGTGCATGGGATGCCACGAACCAATGCCCCTTCAGTTAACCTACTGTGAAAACTTTTACCCCTGGCGGACCTGCCGATGACCGGGAAACCATGTTCATTTTGGCTCTCCGATCTTTCTCCTCTGGCTGATGGCAGAGAATCGGCCGCATATCGGAGTGATGAACACCCTGTCCTGGCTCCGCCCTGCAGGTACCTTTTTAGCCGCCCGTCAACGGCATCAGCTTTCGAAATACGCGAGCCGTGAATACTAACTATCTTGGGTAGTTGGCTCACGGCTGGAACGGCAAAGGCTTCAGCCCCACAAAAAGTTGCAGAAGGCTGGTGACTCGAAGGGAGCGAACCCCGGCAGCCAGTCGAGCTGAATTGATCGTGCAGGAGTGGAGGGAGGTATAAGATGACTCACGGCCAGCAGTCGGTGAGATTTTCTTGAAGGGAAATTTGGTAGACCTCTGAGTGCCAGCTATCATTTCAATCTTTGTGAGAATGGTTCTTTCCGGCTTCAAGACCTACGCGCTCTGCGCGTTTGCTGCTCTCTTTGCTACCCCTGGAGCTGCGACACGACCATCAGGTAGCTCCTTCGGCGTTCCGGGGCTCAATGCAACATATGACTACATTGTTATCGGTGGTGGCAACGCCGGCTTGACTCTCGCTACCCGTCTTGCTGAGCAGCAGGGAGGCAGCGTGGCGGTGGTAGAAGCCGGCACTTTCTACGAGACTGGCAACGGAAATCGCAGCCAAGTGCCGTTCTTCGACCACTACTACATTTCCAAGGCCAAGGATGACTATCAGCCGTTGGTAGATTGGGGATACGTGACTAAAGCACAAAAGGTACAAGACACTGCACTTCCAAGTTTTGTGACTTATCGAGGATAACACATTGCTGACGTAAACGGACGTAGAATGCGTACGACGTTGAGCTGCATTACGCACGTGGAAAATGCCTTGGCGGTTCGTCCGCGCGAAATTACATGATCTACCAGCGAGCCAACAAAAATGCGTACAAGCGCTGGGCGCAAGCGGTCGGAGACGACAGCTACACGTTCGACAACTTCTTGCCATTCTTCAACAAGGGCATTTGCTTCACTCCACCAAACAATGAGCTCCGTTTTGCCAACTCGACCCCGTCCTACGACGCGTCTGTGATGGGCAATTGCTCAGGCCCCTTGTCGGTCACTTACTCTAACTACGCTCACTCATTCGCCTCATGGTCCGTGAACGGTCTCAAGGCCATGGGCTTGAAGATGTTTCCCGGCTTTGCAAGCGGCTCACTCGTGTCTGGTCAATCCTATGTCATGTCGGCAATTTCTGCGAAAGACCAGATTCGCGACTCGTCTGAGACCTCGTTCATGAGGAAGGCGTTGGATCTGCCCAATTACGCGGCATACGTCCTGACCCAAGCCAAAAAGATCACCTTCTCCCGTGATAAGAAAGCCAATGGCGTCTGGGTCGACACGCTCGGTTCGCGCTATCATCTCACCGCTACCAAAGAGGTCATCGTGTCTGCCGGCACATTCGCTTCACCTCAGCTTCTCATGGTCTCAGGCGTTGGCCCGGCGGACGCTCTGAAGAAGCTAGACATTCTCGTCGTCGCCGACCGTCCAGGCGTGGGACAAGGGATGCAGGATCACCTCTACTTTGGCCCATCATACCGCGTAAAAGGTCTGACAACCTCCTCGCTTCTCAACCCAGACAGACTTGCAGAGGCCACCCGAGACTTCAATGTCAACAGCACTGGCATGCTCACAAACCCATCTAACGACATTATCGCGTGGGAGAAGTTCCCCAAGCACCTGCGCTCCGGCTTCTCCAAGCGGACATTGAAAACCCTCGAAAGCTACCCCGCCGACTGGCCAGAGATTGAGCTCCTCGCCATCAGCGCTTTCCTCGGCTACCAGAACACCTCTGCCGCCGACCCAAACGACGGGCGCCAGTATGCAACCATGGGCGCCGCGCTGTGCATGCCGCGCTCGCGCGGCAGCGTCACCATCAAGTCGGCCGACAACGCGGTGAGCCCCATCATCGACCCCAACTACTTTGCGGACCCCGCCGATGTAGAGGTCGCCGTCGCAGCGTACAAACGCGTGCGCGAGTTTTGGACGAAGCCCGCAGTTAAAGCGTTCCGGCCAGACGACGTGGAGGCGTTCCCGGGGCTCCACGTCAAGACCGATGCGCAGATCGAGAAGGTTATCAAGGAGAGCTTCCAGACCATCTTTCATGCCTCGAGTACCTGCGCCATGGGTAAACAGGGCGATTATATGGCGGTTGTGGACAACAAAGCCAAGGTGTTTGGCGTGTCTGGCCTTCGTGTCGTCGACGCTTCTGTCTTCCCATTCCTCCCGCCAGGGCACCCCATGAGCACAGTTTGTAAGTTTGGGGCTCTCCTTATTGTAAGAGCTTGATCTCATACTGACTTTTCCTTCCTTCAGATGCACTCGCTGAGAAGATTGCCACGGATATCACTGGTCGCTAAGACACGCGGGGTGCCTAGGGCGCAAGTGGTCGTCTTCAACGTCCAAGCCTTCGCAGAATTTTCTCATTTTTCAAGACTTAAATACGTGATCGCTGACCTCCATGCGATCAACTTATGGCTTCTGTCACTATAAAACAGGAAGCTGTATCTTTGTGGCTGTTGACCTTAGTTTGTATCTCATCGGTGCTGCACTAGTTGAAACCTGAAAGTGCCGGACATTGCTCGAGAAAAACGCGTACGCATTCATACCGTACAGTTCAAGCCCCGTATTCAAGTGAAACACCGTGATTTTTCTTCGTTATCCGACAGATCCTTCTCACAGTCCAAAGTGAGTGAGTGAACTCTGTCGCTCAATAGCATCATCAATCGCCCGGAACTCTGCGTCCTCCGGCCCGGCATTTGGTGGGCCCGGAGTGTGGGGGCATCGGGGGCTAGCCGCCGGTTCGGGCCCGGGCCTGGGAGCCAGGCTGTAGGGTAGAAATTTCCTGTTCTGAGCTGTGCAAGTAGCTTGCGTTTGTTCCTCTAATATCACCTTGCTAAATGAGCTGTAAAGATGAATGATTAAGCCAGCCGAAACATCACAAACTTTTCGTCTAACGTAATCCACATACGAGCGGACTACCTAATCGAGCGGCCCACCCTCACTACCCACCGCGTACGAAAAAGCTGATTTATAATAATATAAGAAATTAATATTGAAAAAAACTAGTATACCTTATAGAGTGAGGCTTAAATATCTTCCTAATATCTTCATACGTTATAACCTATTTTTACGTATTTTGTCAGAACTAGGTTTAATAAAGAGAGTGAGAAGGTGCATGATATCGAGAGGGCGCAGCTAGATCGCTACGAGTAAGGGGTCCTTAGTGACTATATTAATCTCTTAATCCTCCTAGCTAGCTACGGGGTTAGTATTCCCTCGCCCTTTTGCGTGCGAAAAGGCAACCCCTGCCCCCTCCCACCTAATCACATACGCTTCTCCTCTTTTCATAAGACAGGCCTCCCCTACTACCCTTTAGTACCCCTATATCCTCCTAAATTTCCGGAGGATCCGTATATCCGTAACCACGCTAGGATAGATACTAATATACTAAAGGCAGATCAAATAAGTGGAAAAGGGATGATTCTTTTAAGTACTAAGGCAGCCCGAAGAAGGCTGCCTAAATAGGCATAGCTAATCTAACCCTAGCTAACCCTAGCTAACCCTAACCCTAGTTCCGGCCGTAGGCGTCGTATATTACGATAAACCTATATATAAGCTTCGTTATACCTAGCTAGAAGAACTTCCTCGCTACCGCTTTATAAGTAATATCCCGTCCGGGGTGGCCGACCGATAGAGCCTCGTGAATCTTTTATACTAATTAACTATATAGCCTAGCGAGGATGAGGCGCGCCTTTTCACCTCGGAAAGGCGATCCCTGCGCGGCGTGCGGGGTACCTCCTCGGTGGC